CCTCTCTAAATACAACTTCCTCTGAAGTCTGATGGTACCAAATAGGAAATATATTGATTGTTATATATAGAAATTGTCGATTCATCGATAGTCTCCACTTTATTTACATGAAATTAATAACCTATACAAAATAATATTTCAAAAGATGTACTATAGATGGCGATGAAGGTCTTCAATCAAATGATAATAGCAAAGGTGTCTTTCGCACCAAGCACAAACGAGAAGAGTTCGTTCCTCATAATTAGTAACTGAACAATAAATATCATAGAATTTAAAGCAAACGTCCTTTGGTTTCTTTATTTCATCAATTGTTTCATTATCTTAGCTTGGGTGTGGGTGTGGGTGTGGGTGGGTGTGAGTGTGGGTGGGTGTGGGTGTGGGTGTAGGTGGGGTGTGAGTGGGGTGTGGGTGGGTGGGGGTGTGGGTGTGGGTGTGAGTGGGGTGTGGGTGGGTGGGGGTGTGGGTGGGTGGGGGTGTGGGTGTATCTCTTCATCCATACCTACCCACAAATCCACACCCACACCCACACCCTTTCGACGAAGGTTGGGAAGAGACGATTCAGGATCAGCTATTGTATGTCTACGATTACGAGAAAATGGATCCCGAAGAGCGATGGAATCAAGATATGCTGAATCACCTTGAAGGCTTTGTTGACCTGCAGCTATTGGCAATACAACAAGAAGAAATAGAAGAGATGCAACGACTCGATGAAGCAGAAAACTATGGAGAACAGAGAAGACTAGAAAATATGTGCTTGCGTGAGGAATGGGAACAAGCACAACTGGACAGAATGGACAGCCAAACAACCACATCCTCCTATACAACAATTATCGATCAATTAAAACAAATACGTCAGATTCATGAATTAGAGACAGACGACATCCAACAACAATTGGAGACAGTGAATCCAGAAGAACAACAGTGTCATATTTTAGAACAAAGCCTCCATGATTATCCACAAAACACCTGACTACGATCTTCACATCCTACAAATTTAAGCACATTACCTTTCATTTCTACTTCATTCACGATTTTCTTTAAATTTTGTTGACTTTTTCCTTGACTTAAACGTAGATTTGATTCAAAAACATGCTCTCCAATCACTGTTTGAGCAATAGTCGAAACGCACCGTGCGTTGCTTTGGAATCACTACAACAGAGAACTCACCCTCTACAAGTGATGGATTACGATATAACCTGAGTCTTGGATTGAATCCTGAATTGTTTCGACTTTTGATTTGTGAAGAGCCTTTATTGACTCTTCTATTATCATATTCGTTGCATTTTGTGAAGTCTTTTCATAACTTTGATAATGTAATCACGGTTCCTAAACATGCCTGATGATGACTATCTGAGCAATAGTCGAAACGCGTTGTGTGTTGCTTTGGAATCGCTACAATAGAGAACTCACCCTCGCCCTCACCATCACCCTCAGCTTTACTACACATAATCTGGCTATTTTCATGTTGGTTTTTTTATACATACGTACAACAAAAACTCATTGAACATATTTACTGCACACGACTTCGTTTGACTTACAATTTAAACTCATGGGATGGCCTAACAGCATATACAATAACTAGAGAATTCACACTCAATAAATAATTCTGCTGTAGGTTTTAATGTCGTTGCAGAATTCTTATCGATGGAGGATAAAATGGTCAGTAGAATTTTGATAAAATTCTGTTAAACAAGTTCCAGTCGTACATTAAAGAAAATAACTAACTGTTAATTCTGCTTAATCGAGTAGAATTCTGATTTCTATTATTAATAATTCTGCAGACCCTCCATGCATAGTAATTGAGGACATCTTTCGTTAACTGATATCATACGACTCTTATCGACTACTCATATTTAGATAAGGACAGAAAAAAAACAAACAAGACTTCTTTTTATCAAAAATGGCGACGACTTGCAACGAAGATACTCTTTAGAAGATAAATATTGTCAATGAAAATGATCCAGTCGATTCATTACCATTATTACAAGATTATTGTGAATTTTATCAGTATCTCGAGCCTTAATTGCAAATCCAAAACAAGGAGGAATACCAATGACTTTTTTGTCATGTTCAAGATGGAAAAACTGTTGGTTTTGCTACAGTTTGCTGGTCTTGGTTCACATAAAAAGGTGGTCGTCTAGCTGTAATGGAAGATCCTTATGTTGATCAATCATATCAAGGTTAAGATATTATTGATCTTCTGATTTGTGATTGTGCACGAGAGCATGGTGTATTATGTTTAACATAGCAAACGTCCGTGAAAAATCATCGCGCACAAGCTGTTCATAATCGAGGTGGGGCACTTTAACTTTAACTTTTACAGTAAAGTTAAAGTACCACCCCTAAACTATACACTTCCATTGTGAATAATGTTTATTTTTTTATGATTTTTTTTAGTCTTTTGAAAAATTGATTTTAGATAATAATGAAGAATTTGATTGAAGATTTGGTTTTATTCTTTCTTATTACACTCATAGTTTTGTCACCTTTTATGATATTGTTCACATTTATTCTCTTATCCTATTTCTGGTCTTTACCACTGACATTACTCATTGCTTTGATTTATGGTAGTTGGATGTATATTGATCGTTATACCCCTGTTCGAGGAGGGCGATGGTCGGATCGTTTACGTCGATTATCTATTTGGTCAATAGTTTCTAATTATTTTCCAATAAAATTAATCAAAACTGAAGATCTTGATCCAAATCGAAATTATATCTTTGGTTATCATCCACATGGTGCAGCAACTGTCGGTGCAGGGATCAATTTCCTAACAGAAGCAACACATTTTTCAACTCTATTTCCTGGTATTCGTCCTCATTTGATGGCTCTTCATTCCAATTTTTTCTGTCCATTTTTACGTGAATTATTTCTTAGCTTGGGTAAGAATAACATTATAAATCCATCATCGAATGTTTTGTTATTCTAGGTGAATGTTCTGTCTCACGAGAGAGTTGTCAATATTTCTTAAATGGTTCATCTGGTCGAGGTGATGCTGTTGTAATTGTGACTGGTGGTATGAAAGAATTGTATTTAACAGAATATCAAAGGATGATATTCTATTTAAAAAAGAGGAAAGGTTTTATACGATTAGCATTAGAAAATGGGTTAGTGAATATGTAATTAGAATGAATAGAAAAGAAGAAGTTTTGTTTATTAGTGTATCATTAGTCCCGGTTATAACATTTGGAGAAAATGAACATTATCGACAATATAAGAATTGGATTTCAAATCGATGGATTTGGGGACGATCAATCGTTGGTTATTTACCTCTTCGTCATCCTGTAACGACCGTTGGTAAGATAAAACTTTCTTTCCCATTGGACTCGATGGAAAAAAATTATTTTATTCTATTAGTTGGTAAACCGATTCATGTCAATCAAATCATTGATCCATCTCAAACAGATATCGATCAACTTCATGATCAATATCTTCAAGCAATTGAACAGCTGTATAATACAAACAAAGCAAACTATGGTTTTGAAAATGTGAAATTAGAGATCATTTAGATAACATCTGGACAATGAAGCTTATTTCTCTTGTTAATCTTAAAGACCTACATCAATCAATCAAACATTGAGTAACTGACACATGCGAGAAAGAAAACATATCTATTAAGCTTATATATCGATGATATAATGTATATTTCAAGCAGAAAATAAAACGAAATCGAGTTATTCAACTATTCCTCGCCCTGTCTTATTCTTTCAGCAAGTTGTTTATACTTATAACAATTTCATACGACATATATCGGTAATAATATTTCATTGCTATTTATTGTACAGAACAGAGATGGGCGAGCCGCGGTGTGAAACCGCACCGCCCCGCCCCGTCCCGTTCCGCTGGCGAGACAGTGCAAAAACTTGACGGAGCGGGGCGGTGACTAGAGGCCGGAGTGACCAGCTTTTTTTGGTCACGGTCATTCACGGTCACGGCCATGACCGTGACCGTGAGTTACGGAAATTCTACTAATGGTAATAGTGTAATATCTTTTTGTCGCCTATGTACATATGGAGTATGTTGATACACTGAAAATCCTTTGTCATTTTGCGTTGTTGATTCTCCATTTTTAACATTTAGCGTGGATGAGTTAGAGCAATTGATGCTAGGCACATGCGACCGCAGTTTTTCTCTCCGATTCTGATTTTATTTTCGAAAATTATTCCAACATCGAAAATTGTTTTGTTCATAAATCAGCGACAGCTTAGCGTACGATAGCTAGCTGGGCGAGACACCAAACTCCAATTTTGACTGAGGGGAAATCGGAATTAGATGTCGCAATTTCGTGCAGTTCTCTAATATTGAACTGACAGTTTTATTTACTTGACATTATCATTCTAATCAAAAAATGTTACATAAGAAATAAACCAAATAGTTTTCAAAATATTCTTATCCAACTTCTATTCCAATTCAGCAAAAAACAGATTGACTTCGATTGCGACTCAATCGATAAACAGATCAATCTATCTTTTGAACAAAAGACAAAATCAATCTGCTATTCTCAACTCTTGCTTTTCAGCAATCGATTTTTCAGTCGAATTCAATAGAGAAGTAATAGTTATTGTGCTTGAAAATCAAATAATAATGCAGAGTTCAATTTACCGACGCGTTTCCTGTTATTTTATTGAAATTTAAACACTCTTCAGGGCACTATGCATAGAAAAAATGAAAAATAAAACAGAAGAATGGGAAATACATTTGGAAAATGAAAAAATGAAAGTGGAGAGGGCAATTAAAGGATGTAGACGGAGATAGAAGTGAAAAATAGATGAAAATGAAAGTTATACGTGGGTCCCTCTGAAAGTTTTTAGATTCTTTATTAAATTAAGAGATATCTAAGACTTTGGTAGTTGTGGTAGTAGACCCAAGTCTTAGAAGAAAGTATACAAAGTTTTAGCTCTTAGACATTTTTCCTTTGGTTGTTTTGTAGATTAAGTGATTCACTACTGACATATTTTTTTTTCATCGTCATGAATCTAACACAAGAACAAATTTGAGTTATGATTTATTATGATTACAAAAAACAATTATCACAAGATGAATGTCTTGAATCATTACACAAAACCTTTGGTGACTCTTGTGTTTCTCGTGCCACAGTTTACAATTGGTTTGCTAAATTCAGTCGTGGCAGGGATCACTTTGAAGATGAACCTCGTGCTGGTCGACCAAGAACTGCACTCACTCCAGAAAACATCGAAGCTGTTCGTGAACTGGTAAACATTGATCCACATATCACATACCAACAGATAGAAGACACTTTACAGATTGGATCGGCATCAACTGAAATTATTCTTCATGATTATCTTGGTTTAAAAAAAGTTACATGTCGCTGGGTGTCACATTCTTTAAGTGAAGCTCAAAAACAGGACCGTGTTGACTATTGCCTACAAATGCTCGAAAAATTCGACGGCGGCAAGTCAAAACGTGTGTATGATATTATCACTGGTGATGAAAGTTGGTTCTATATTATGATCCAGAAACGAAGCGTGAAAGTCAAGTTTGGGTAGCAAGCAATGATCCTCATCCAACTAAAGTTCGTCGACAACGTTCTGTTGGTAAACATATGTTTGCAATTTTCTTCATGAAGTCCAGTTTTAATACAATCATTTCTCTTGAAAATGGTACAACAGTTACAGCTAAGTGGTATGCAAATGAATGTCTTACACAGGTGCTCAAACAAGTGGAAAAACATTGACGTCTCAATGGTCTTCTTATTCATCATGACAATGCACCTGCACACAGGGCAGCACTAACAATGGAATATTTAGATATTCAACACGTTAAATTGATGGGCCATCCAGCATATTCACCAGATCTAAGTCCGTGTGATTTTCGGCTGTTCCCAAAAATTAAAGAGCAACTTCGTGGAAAAAGCTTCCAGGATATTAATGAACTTCATAATGCTGTCAGAACACAAATAGACTGTCTTGAAAAAGATGATCTCTACCAATGTTATGAAAAGTGGTTCGAAAGAATTAATAAGTGCATTAGTGCACAAGGACATTACTTCGAACAAATATAATAAAATTCTTTCAAACTAAGCTAACAGTATTGCAAATCTAAAAACTTTCAGAGTGACCCACGTAATAACTTAAAATTTAGGCAAGTTAAGTAATATTTTGACGATATTGAACTATTCTTGACAAATTTTTACCAGAATTTGAAATATCCTGACAAGTTTTGCTAAGTCCTTTTAAATTTTAAGCAAATTTGGAATATTTTGGTAGTTTTTAACTAAATCTTGGAATATTTAGACGAATTTTAACCAAATTTTGAGCTATTTTGATAATTTTTAACCGAATTTGACCAAATTCTGAACTATTCTGATAAATTTTAACCGAATTTGACCAAACTTTGAAATATTTTGAATATTTTGAAGACGTTCATCCAAATTTTGAAACATTTAGATAAATTTTAACGAAATTTGACCAACTTCGAAGTATTTTAATCCAATTCAACCGAATTTTGCTGTATTTTTACCAATTTTGACCAATCTTTGGAGTACTTTGATGAGTTTTAACCGAATTATGAAATATTTTGATAGGTTCTAACCAAATTTGACCGAATTTTTAAATATTTTAATAAATTTTTAAAATAATTAGACCAAATTTTAACTATTTTGACGAATTTTAATGATATTTGGCCAATTTTTAAGATATTTTGATAAATTTAAGTAAATTGTGAAGTATCTTGCAACTTTTAACCGAATTTAATAAATTATTCTAAGATTTGACCAAATCTTGAGGATCTGTTATAATCTCAATAAATTTTTTAAAGTAAATTCAAAGCTTAATACGACGCGTTTCGACTATTGCTTAGATAGTCATCATCAGGTATATTCAGATTTTGCAACTACATTGACAATAAAAACATAAATATCGATAGAATTGTTTTTGGAGAACTCAAACTTCCCGATTTTTTTCGACAAAGGATAGCACAAAGGTAATTACGAGTAAAAACCTCCAACATCAAATCCTCCAAAGAATTTATAATTGATATAGGAGTTAAGCAAAATATAGATATGTTTATTGTATTAATCGTAGCGTTTGTATAATGGGGTGTGTTATAATCAATTCGAAAACAGTTCAATCTATGCTTTAACGAAAACACAAATCAATCTGCTATTCTCAACTTTTACTTTTCAGTAACCGATTTTATAGTCGAAAATTCAAAATTTCAAAGCTTAATAATTAGAATATTTTCTTGAATTCGAAATTAATTAAAAGTAAATGCAGAATTAGTTTCGCCGACGCGTTTCATGTTTATTTTATTTAAAAATTTCAAACACTCCTCAGGGCACTGCATTTACAAAGAAAAAGCTAGTATAAAATGAGATGGATAAAAAAAATTTTTTTAGAAATAATTATTAGGATAATAAATTTAGAAACAATAAATAAGTACAATTATTAGGACAATATCGTTAAAAGGGAAATCCGATTGCTTGTCTATGCATCGGTATTCGTCGAATTGGGTTGGATATTTTTCGACAAATAACTGATTGAGCTGACAAATGTGGATGAGTATGTCGAAGATATTGGGGGTGTTGACTGGCTGGTCTCTATCGATAATTTATATCGTAGTTCACTCGATAATTTGGTTTTTTGTTTGTAATTTATAATTTTTTAATTTCCAATACTATAACAATTTAAACTCTTAAGTTTTAACTTTGTGTTTCAATTTTATTTGCTGTTATCAATTTTAAATTTTAAATTTTTGTATAAGCTTTTTTATGATTGTTATAATTTCATTAATTTATTCTTATAAGGCTACAAAGCCAACTTTATTTTTATTAAAAAGCAATTAAGTTAATGTAAATCAGTTTCATTTCATCATGATTAACAATTTAACGATATGAGTTTCACTAATATTTCAATTTCTATTTCCGATAAGTATTTTAATATAAAAATTTTTTTGGTTTTAATGCTTTTCAACTTATAATTTCAATATTAATACTATTCCATTTTACATGTAATGGCGATTTTAATAATAATTCAATTAATATTTCATATTTTAATTTAATTTAATTTTTGTAATTACTTCAATTTTAAATGTCTTCATCTAGTATTTACTTTGTCTATTAAATCAAAGTTTGGTCAATTGATTATTAGTTTTTTTCGTTTTTTATTTTATGTTTTGAATAATTCAAATAAGATTTCTTGTGGATCATTTTAATTTAATTTTAATTGAAGTAATAATAACTTAATTTGACATCGTAAATGATTTTGAATTTCCCATTGCAAGGTATTTAACCGAAGGGATATTTTCTAATTTAGTAAGATCAAACGGTTTTATCAATTTTTAAATTTATTAAATAGACATTTTTTATTTACAAGTATTTATTAATGCCTGATTTAATATCAGTTATTTTATTTAGATTAGATATTCTGAATACAATGTGTGTTCATAATAATTTTTATTTGGTTTTTTAATCTATGAGTTATATTCAATAGATTGGTTTATTGTACAATTTAATCTAAAATTTATATTGTTTTTAGTATTGACACTGTTAAAATAGGAATTTTGTTGGTCACAAATACTAAATTTGATATCAATAATATAACTTAATAATTTCATATTGTGTATATTGATATATATACATATATATATATATATATAAAGAATATTTGAAATTTCTTGTTAATAATTTCATATCTGTTTTTGTTCAAATATTGTTTCTGTTGATTTCCTGTTTAATACAATTTTAATTTAATAAAGGTTCAATGGTAATATTGTTCTATATAAATTTTAGTGATATTTCATTTTTGATCATATTCGAGTCAATTTTATAATATTTAAAGTTTTCAATAGCGTTTTGATTGGATAAGGTCCCAATTAATGTTATTTGTTATTAAATCGTATTTAATTTTTATGTTAATCAAATTAAGTTTAGAATTATTTCAGCTTCGATTATATTTTGATTTTATAATATTTAGATTTTAATAAAATTTTTTATAGGAGAATAAATTTATCCTTAGTATAGAATAGCTGTGTTTTGATTTGTTATAAGTCAAATATTTCATGAAATAAACTATATTTGTAAATAATATGTTATGTAGTACATGCTTAGTATTTCTCAACAATATGCCATAAGGCACATGTACTATATATGAAATACATTAATTTTTTAATTTAGTTTGAACTAAACGTCTTTGGAGATTATCAACGTTCCTAGTACCAAGTATTGGTTTTATTTCATTTATCGGAGAATTTTCAAAATATTTTGTCCATAATTCATGAAATTTTTTTGGAAATAATTTCATAGTGGAACAATAAGTAAAATGGACGAATATTATTTTCTCATAGTTTATTGGCAATTTTTCTGTTTTGGTACTAGCCATAATTTTCTCGCGATTCTTTTGATAATTATAAGTATTTAAGGTTTCATCAATATTCGATTTCAGTAGAACATTATCGAATTGTTCATTGATTATTTTATTCGGATATTTATTCAATAGTAAAGCTATTCTTAGCTTTTCACGTTCTTCTAAGTAGGGGTGGGAAGTTACCGTTCCCAGACCGTTACCCAGTAACGGTAACGGTAACGGTTCCTATGAAAGGAGTTACCAGTTACCAGAATAACTAGTAACGAGACCGTTACCAGTTACTTTTTCCTGGTAACTTTTCAAAAAGACTAAATATCACTTATATTGGACCAAATATCGACAATACACCAGTAAAAAAATTTGGAGTTACCAGTTACCCTGGTAACTGTTACCCGTTACCAGTTACCTGGGAACGGCCCATGTAAATATTTTTTGCCTCAAAACGCGTCTGAAACGCGTTTCATTTGCGTGCGAAATGCTAAGAGTGAACGCGTTTGAACGCGTCCCCAGTGAAACAAACGGAGCGTTTAAACGCGATTTATTTTAGAAACGCGTGTGAATGCGCTTCTAGCTTGACTTGCGTTCAAACGCATTTTTAGCGAAAACGCGTCCCAGATGAAACATTTAATGCGTCTGGACGCGTTTCATAAAAAAACTAAAAATTTTGAAAAAAAATATGATAATCCATTTCAGATTCGAACTGAGTCGCCACCATCAATATTTTTTGATGGTCCTAGCCTTCCATGGCAAATGGATTAGATTTTACCTTAAGCGACGACGGTCAGATTTGAACAGATGAACCAGTGATTAGAAGTCGTTCATACATACCGCTGAGTTATACTAACTCGAAATCTTGTCTTATTCAAAATAAAATATATTTGAAGACGAATTTCATCGGTTAAATACTTTATTTTAACAAGATGTATTTTTTTCGAATTCAAGAGTCTTAACACGTAAGATGACTTTTCAGTTATTTTTTTAATAAGTTTTTTATTTTTTTAATAAAATAACATCTTTTTTTTATCATCTACTACACATAAAAAATATTACGATCTTTTTTATTGCACTGGTAATATGATAAATAATTTTATCGAAAAATTTAATGAATAGATAATTATTGACAACCAATTTAGTAGAAATATATGATGAAAAGTTACTAATAATATTATTTAAATAGTAGTATTTAACAATATTCTGAAAGGGCATTGCATAGCTGGAAACTATTACAATATTATCTAACCATTTTTCTTACAAACTTTAGAGAAATATGGACTGTTCACCGTATGTTTAATTGAATTTTGTCTATTTTAACGTCATCTCGACATTCTTTATTAGAAGTCTAATGAAGTTTAGATGAATAAAATACATGTAA